ACTCTGCTGCGGGCTGCCATTTAATACCACAAGAAACTGTTTGCATTTCATCATGTAACCGGTTGTGTGAATTTAAGAACCTTCCCTGGATCAGGCTGTGTTTTCAGATGAAAGAAAGGAGCTACCAAATGGTAGAGTGAAATATATGGCTTGTTTTCCTGTAAGCCTGTCCTCTAAGCGTAAACAAATAGACTGCAGTGAAGGCTCTGGCTCCAGAAAAAAAAAACGAGCAGAGATGGGAAGTAGGAAAAGGTTGGGGCTGCCTTTTCTTGTAAGAGAGGTTTCTCTGATATCAAGGCAGTAGGAACAGGCTCAGAATGAAATGGAACAGTGAAAAATGCCTTTACAGAGTCAGCTGAAGGGGGGAAATCTACTCTCCTGATCCTAAAACTTTTCCTTCTAACATTCCCATCGGAGTGGGTATAGAATTGAGCCCGTTTGTGACTTTTCCCTCAGGGTCTGTTAGATGGGCTTTTATTCAATGTGATTTCAGTCATCAGATCATAATAAAGTTGCTCTGTTCCTCATGAAGCTCACATTATGGATGTACAGCCATCATGGCCTATGGACTGCTTAGTTTTTCCTGTAAAAACAGAAATCTTTGTACGGCTGGGAGCTTGTAAAAACAAGCCTGAAGCTACTCAAATTTTTAGCTTTACAGTATAAACGAGAAACAAAATTCTTCACTGCAAAATATATATGTACCTATATATGCTTGAGGTCTTGACAACGAGACTCATTCATGCAGAAGACGACACTTGCCAGGTGAATATTGCCTTGTTCTAGCATCACACGCCAAGTAATGTAATTAAAGGGCGTTTATGAAATGTTCGGGAATCCTGAGCAGATGGGAGAGTAGGATTGTGTGGTTGGGGTGTCCCGAGGTGAGCTGCAGGCCAAGCGAGAGGTGAAGTGCTGAAAATGAAGCTTTCTCAGGGCAGTTTGGGGTCTAAAGGGAGCAATTTGATCTCAAATAATGGTGGCTATTCCCGGTTGCCAAGTGCTGCGCCGCTAATCGGCACCTCCAGTACCGAGCCTTCCCTGCCTTCGGGTGTCGTTTAGACACCGTCGTTTAGACACCCATCGTTTAGACACCCGAAGGGAGAAACACAGACTCTGGAGGTGAAGCGGCTCGGCCCTGCTCGGATGCGGCTGAGGACACCGCACCCCACGGGCACCTCCGGGCTGCTCTGCCCTCCCGCACTTAGGGAACACGGGAAAACTCCTTCGAGCCTTGTAATAGATTACATCTAATGGATTTTTCACAGCGACCGGAATATTTGATTTCCCGCGGTACAATTAGTTAATTCTCGGGAGCTCCGGCGTGCAGGGCAGACCCCCACATGCCAGGTTTACACGTAGCCGTATTCTCCCGTTAGGGGAATAAACGCTCCACGATCTTAAAGACCACTAGTATTCGGGGAAAGAAGAAGAGGGGAAAAGAAGAAACTAGGATTGCTTGCAACGGCGGCACTGTGACGGCCTATCCCGGCTGCGTTGGTGGCTGTGCCGAGGAGGGGAAGGGACCGGGGGACCGGGACCCGCTCGTTTGAGAAACAGGAACTCGGGACACGCAGCGCCTGGGTCCGCTTATAAAGCTATGTCTGTGCCTCTCCTAGGCGAGCCAAATTAACGCGGGTTAACGTAGCTGCTGAAGCGGTCGGGAAGGGTAGTTTCTTGCTGCGGCACCAGCAGCGTGTTCGGCTCCGTGCTTCCCGGAGCGGAGCCGGAGCCCCGGAACGGGCAAAGTGGCAGTGTCGCCTGCCCTCCGTCCGGGTGCCGGTGCAGGCGGAGGGAGCCTTGCTCCGGTGCCTGCGAGCGCGTGCGGTAGCCGAACGGGAGCGGTGCTCCCCGATCGAGGGGCGTCCCGGAGCGCCGGAGACACGTTTTCTCTCCAAGCGGAATAGTGTGAGAGGAAGCGTGCCACATTTTCAAACAAACTGATCCCAGCCCTTCCAGGTAAAGCCGGCGCTGCTGCCTGCACTGGGGTGAGTAGAAAAAAAACCCTACTCGGGCTCCTTCTTGCTTCTTGCCCGCCCTGCAAAGGCCGGCACGGCTTCCGTAGGACCCCTGTTCGCAGTGCCGTGTCCCAGCCGCGCTTCCCCGTGTCCCAGCTGGAGTCCCCCGCCGCTTGCCGTGACCCGCTCTGCACGGCAATTACACTCGCGGGAACGGTGCCGGCCGCTTCCCCGCCGAATACCGGACTTGATTAGGAAAGGCGGACCCATCCCGGCTCGGTACCGGAGAAGCACGGCGAAGCACGGAATTGCAGCCCCCCTCGGGGAGCTGGGTTGCGCGGCCGGGACTGAGACCCACTCTGCCCGCCTCCTTCCCGGCTTCCTTGCCCTGGGAACGAACTGCAGCCGGGGCTGCTCTGGGTGAAAAAAGCGAAAACGCCTTTCCCGCCGCCCCTCAGCGTTCTGCCGTGGGATCTGCCCCTCTCCGCAGCGGGACGGTGTCCGGGCATCGGCGCCGTGAGCCCTGCTCCACTGCTACCTTCCTCCTGCTACCCCTACCCCCGAGGGCAGCAGGCCCTGTCGGGGAGCAGCTCCACTGCCTCCGATTTGTCCCGGTTTGTTTGATTCCTTGTCCGACTCCGGGAGCGGCAGGGGCTCCCCAGAGCTCACCGCATGGGACCTCTGTCCCGGGTTGTGCGGCATCCTCCGCTCCTCACTGGGGATAGGCGTGCCGCGCCCCTCTGCCCGCTGCCCGACCCCGTTCATTGCATTCCCCTAGCTGCGACATGTCTGTGAATGCCGGTAGGACTCCAGCTCTCGGCTGAACTGCAGCCACAGTGTCCAGGCTCGGCTGTCGTGGCTTAATCATACGGTTTAATGTCCCAAGAAGGGCCCAATTAGCACCGGGGAGAGGGGACAGCCGGGCAGTGCCCGTAAATCAAACGTTCAAGTAGCCGCACACGGGACTGCTCTCTCACCTTTGCCGCTGCTCGGCCCGATCGCCGCTCCCAGCTCTGGGCTGAGCTGCTGCCCTTGGGTGTTCATCCGAAAGTCCCCTTTGGTGGGGCTGTCAAAAAAACCCAAGCAAGGCCCTCGGATGTCCAATGTCCTCTGTGAAACAGGCAGCCCTGGTAAGGCGCTGCGCGCCCGGCTTAGGAGTGCAAAGGGAGGAATGTGCCGTTTGGCGGAGGTGATGACACACGCAACAGTGCTGTTACACCTGCATCGGGCCTCGCCGCGGAAATGCCTCGCGCCGGGAGCAGCCTGGGTGGCCGTCAGAAAGCAGCCGGGCTGGCCCAAGGGGGCCTGGCAACCCCGGCGCCGGGCACGGCTAGGCACGGCTGCCCTCCGTAGAGGCACCCTCCGAGGAGCGACCGGGGAGAAAAACCGCTGAGAGCGTCTCTCCCTCTGGCCTCATTCCTCCGAGGTTTCGTTTATGCGCTTTAGGGGGGTACTTTGAGGGCGGCGTGCGCTGTTCTGCGGCTGTGTGCGGAAATAGAGGGGCCTCGAATCTGTGACCGAATTAATGCGGTCCACGCTTTAGGGTACGCCTTTCGCCGCCGATGAGAGACGGGGGATTCGTTATATGGCGGCAGGCGAACAGGCAAAAACATTCGAACCGAGAAATAGAATGGCTTCCCGAGGGCTAGTTTATTTTTCCGTTTCTAGATCTCCGACCCCCCCTTCACCCACAAATATACTCCCCCGGAGGGGAGAGGGGACCCTTGTGCCCTTGGCTGGGCAGAGGAATCGGAGCTTCCCGCATGGCGCGCCGAAACCCCAGGGCACCCCGACGGGAGGGGTGGCTGCACAGGGTACGCTGTTCGAGGGCAGCCAGGCCCCGCCGGGCTGGCGTTTGGTTAATGAAAACTGATGTTGCGCGTAAAACCCGCGGGGCGCGGAATAGCGCTGAGCGGCGGCTCACGTTCGGGAACAGCAGAAGAGAGACAGAGGGCTCCGGCCGCGGCCCCCAGGGCATGAGTAGCAGCTCCAAGAGCCGCTTCTGGACAGCCCTAGAGGGGAGACTCCGAGGCGTGCTTGAGTGCGTGAGGGGATCGGGTCCTTGTGGCTGCACCCCCGGGGGCGCACCGGCAGCGCGGTTGGGGAGCTCAGGTGACCCCGGCCGCGCTGTTTGGGAGGTTCTGGAAGACAAACAGGGCTAGGCTGCCTTCTTCGCGGGGACCGGGCTAAGGGCTCCTTTAGAAACCAGCGCAAAGTATTATCCGTCTGCTTCTCTACCCGAGGTGGGAGCAGCCCCGTGTTAGTGATTTATTATACGACACCTCTGCTGGGGGGGGGGGGGGGGAGGGGAGGAGAGGGGGGCCTCTACCTGAAGGCAGAGAAGGGGAAGGAGCAGGGCAACGTCGGTGCAGCATATGCCGCCCGTGTGAAACCAGCTGGAGACGTGCAGGTGAAGGAGCGGGAAAACTGGCCGGTGTGTCACGCCTCGCCTCGTCACCCTCCACCGGCCCTCGGGGCGCGTCAGCCCCGCAGCCTACTTCGCGGGGAGAGAGGAGAGACCTGACACCGTTTGCTCTGCCTCCTGCAAACAAGGGCTGCAAGAACCGACTTGCAGGCAGCGGCAGCAGCCTCCTTGTGCTCCCCGGGCGCGATCGGTTGGCGGGGCCCGGGGCCAAGACATACAAACGCGTCCGCGTGTGCGGCTGGACGTCCGGGGCAGGGGCGAACGCCGCGGGCACACTCCGCACCCGCCGCCTCCGACGAGGCCCCTGGCCGGGCGGGAGGGGAGCCCACCGCCGAGGGCCCCATCGGAGCTCCTCGGGCGGGCGGGCGGCGGAGGCTTGATCGGTGCTCCCCCGGACACCGCCTCCCCCCTTAACTTCCCCCCCCCCCACCTCCCCGCCCCGGTGGCGCGACCGAGCCGGGGCGGTTCCGCGCCGCTCCGCGGGGCTACGTCGGGCCGCGTGTGCGTGGGGCTGAGCGCTGCGCCGTGACTGCGGGGTGAACTCGGCCGTGCCCAGCGGCTCGGCGGCGATAGGGGAGCGGGCTCTTGACGAAAGCGGAACTCGGCCGGGCCCATACAAATCAGAAAAGAGCCCGGCTGCGGCGGCAGAGGGGAGCGGAGCCCGCGGGGGCAGGGACGCTGCCGCCGCAGCGCTGCACGGACCAGCGGCGCCGCGAAAGGCGACTCCCCATCTTCGTCCCGGTCCCGGCTTCGACCTCGGCCCCGGTCTTAGCGAGCGCCGGGAGGGACAGGACGGCCCCCGGCACCGGGCTCCGCACATCGGACAAGCGCTCCGCAGCCGTGCCGCGGGCTGCGGGACGGCGGGACGCGGGGCACCATGATGAACAGCTACCCAGACGGCGAGGAGGACGCGGTGGCGCTGCTGGCTCATGACACCGGCGGCAGCAAGGAGCCGGAGCGGGTCAAGGAGGAGCTGGGTGCAGAAAAAATCCCTGAGAAGCCGGACCCCTCGCAGAAGCCCCCCTATTCCTACGTGGCCCTTATCGCCATGGCCATCCGGGAGAGCGCAGAGAAGAGGCTCACGCTGTCCGGGATCTACCAGTACATCATCAGCAAGTTCCCTTTCTACGAGAAGAACAAGAAGGGCTGGCAGAACAGCATCCGCCACAACCTCAGCCTCAACGAGTGCTTTATCAAGGTGCCCAGGGAGGGCGGCGGCGAGCGCAAGGGCAACTACTGGACCCTGGATCCCGCCTGCGAGGACATGTTCGAGAAGGGCAACTACCGCCGGAGGCGAAGGATGAAACGGCCTTTCCGGCCGCCCCCGACCCACTTCCAGCCCGGCAAAACCCTCTTCAGCCCCGACACCTACGGCTACCTCTCCCCGCCCAAGTACTTGCAGTCCACCTTCATGAACAACTCGTGGCCGCTGGCGCAGCCCCCTGCGCCCATGCCCTACGCCTCCTGCCAGATGTCTGGTGGGAACGTCAGCCCCGTCAATGTGAAAGGACTCTCGGGCCCGGCATCCTACGGCCCCTACTCGCGGGTGCAGAGCATGGCGCTGCCCAGCATGGTGAACTCCTACAACGGCATGGGCCACCACCACCACCACCCTCACGCCCATCACCCCCAACAGCTCAGCCCGACCAGCCCCGCGCCGCCCGCGGCCCCGGCTGCGAACGGAGCCGGCCTCCAGTTCGCCTGTGCCCGCCAGCCCGCCGAGCTGTCCATGATGCACTGTTCCTACTGGGAGCACGACAGCAAACACAGCGCCCTGCACTCCCGCATAGACATCTAGGGGGACTTCGGCCGATAGCCCGCCGCCTTTGCACCGGCTCCGCTACCATTCTGCGATCCTGCCGCCTTCTCCTTCTTTCTCGGGTCTCTCCTCCTCTCCAGCCGCGGACTCTCTCCGTGCCTGAACTGTTGCGGTGGGGAAACGGCGGCCCTGCTCCTTGTGTAGTGTAAGTGTAAGAACCGTCCTACGAGGAGGAGAAGGCGGTGTAAGTGCCGGTGCGCTGTAGCTGGGCGAGCTCGGACTTACCGTTCGTTTCTTTGCTCGTTTGTGTGTGTTCGTGAGACTTTTTTTTTTTTTGGGGGGGGGGGGAGCATGTAATTAAAAATAGGCTGTTTAGCCCTCAAAATTCTGCTCCTTTATAATTCAGCCTTAATCCTTTCGGGCTCAGCCTTGGGGAGAGTGAAAAGCCCAGCTTGTAAATAGCGGCGGCATTTCCATGCGTGGCGGTGCTGGCTGGCGAGGCCTAGCTGCTGCCGTGGTGCTCGTCCTCCTCCTCTTCATCTGCTCTTTTTCCTCGGACTGCAAAACACCGCGCTTCTTCCGAACCGCGGCTTTCTGTCAAAATAGTACTTAGGTGGGGACTTCTGGAGCAGCGGGAGATGTGCGATATTGCCGGTTGTCAGAAACCCACAACCGAACCTGCCAGTGTCACTCGGGAAACGTTTCACTGTCGGTAAAACATAGTTTTGAAAGGAGACAATGTCCTCTGAGGTCTTAATTTTATACAGGTCTAAAAAAATGTTTTGACAAAAAAGAAAGACGGTTTCCTGTAAATTGGAATATTTTTTTCCGTGTGCATATTATGAATAATGAAAGTATCTTCGGGTTTTTTCGACCCTAAACCTGGCCCAAAATGGATTCTCTGGTAGGTTCTGCTTTCGAATGCTTGCCCTTTTAAAACGTTTTGATCCTTCGATTTTACATAGATTGTGAAGAAAAAAAAATAGCGTTTATAATACGGGCCAGTTCGTAGCGATTTTGTAAACGTTTATGTAAGCTGATAGATGCTGTGGCATAGTACCATTTTGGGACCAACTTTTCTAGAGTGAACTAGCACTTTTATTGTACTTCCTAGCATTGTAAAGTCTCCAATAAAGTGGCTTTCCTTCTTTTCAGATCGTTTTATTTCGCTCCGTTCCTCCGTGATCGGGGTCGAGAAGCGGCAGCGGAGAACGGTGTGGGCGACTTGTCCCGGGGCCGTTCCGAGCCGTCCGGCCTGCTCCCTTCGGCGGTCACCACTCCCGGTCCCAGTTCCAGCCGCGGCCCTCCAGCTCTCGCCTCCGCCGCGGGGAGTACGAGGACTGTGCCGGGGCGGCGGATCGGCTCTGTTAAGCGCCGTAGCGGGAGGGGTCCGGTGATGTTTTGGCGGCCGCCGTGGAGGTACCGGGACCGCTTCGTTGGCTCTGCGGGAGCGATCGGGAGCGCCTCCGCTGTGGGACACGGGCAGCCGGCGGCACCTCGCCCCTGTGCCCGGCTCTCCCGGAGCAATGCCGGCGGCTGTGGCCGGCACCGACCTTGGCTCCGCTTTCGTTTCATCCCCGCCCGCTCGGGGCCGCGGCGCTGGACGACACCGCGCAGCCCCGCGTTGCTCCGGGCCAGTGCCGGTGCTTGGGGCCGCTGTCGGGCCTCGCTTTCCAAGCCGGGCCGGTGGCTCCGGGCATGGGCCTCGCTTGAGGAGTTCGTACGCAGCTGCTCCTTTGCGGGCTGCACGGGGGGATGGGAGGCGCAGGACGGGACGGTGCTGTCGGCAGGTGGGGTGGTCTCCGCAGAGTGTCCCCTCGAAAGCCAGTCTGGGCCAGGCCTGGTGCTGTTCGGCGGGAGGGAGTGGGGATGTGCGTGTTCCGCTCGTTCCGAGGGGGGGAGGTAGCAGGGCGAAACGCGGTACCGGAGGTGAACACTCCTCTCCCGCTGCCGGGGACAAGATGGGGGCCCACGGGAGAGGTGACCCGCGGGCGCTGGGTGCAAACAGACTGTCGCCCGGCTGGAGTCCCTGCTGCGCTGCCTGTCACCGGTACCCAGACCCTGACCCGAGCAGGAGGGCGTTGGGAGCGGTGTTGCCGCCGAGGGTTCTTGCTCTCGGGGCTGCAGCAGTGCAGCTTCGCGCTGTGCACCGTGACAGCGGGGCCGAGCTGCTGCCGCGGGGACCTGGAGGTAGGGAGGGAGCGAGCCCAGCTCCTACCATGAACACACCGGTGTCATAGGGAGCGAAATGCCTCCCAGGCTGGCAGCCCCGGGATGCCAGCGCACATGGCACACGGTCCCCACTCATGCCTTCGCCACCCTTGCCTCTGCCGGCCTCTGCCGGGAGCGGGGAGCTCACTCGGGGCCTCTGACCTGCCCGGGACCCTCGGGTGGAACTGCTGGTGGAGGGGAGAGGCGTCACCGTTCACACGGCCTCAGGAGCGCAGGGCGACCTCGGCGACCGGCCCAGGCATCCCGGTGTCCTCCTGTGAGTTGTAGCCTTGCACCGGAGAGCTCAGGGCCGTGGCAGCTCGTTCTGCTTGTTGCTTATTCGATAGTCCCGCTTTGTTTCCTCCGGGGTACATGGGGGCCATGGCGGGATCACAAGGGAAGCGATGGGCTCGGGGCGAAGGGAGGACGGGACCTCCGCCGGCGCCCCCCGGGCCGGCTGTGCCACCGCTCGGCCGGGCTGCAGTGCCTATAGCAAACGGCTGTGAGCTGCTGGGGCCTTGCCGACGTTGAGTGAAGATATAAGCTCCGGTGCCCTGGGGCAGGGGTACAGTGGTGGCCCCCGGGGCTGCCTCGATTCCCACGGGGCCTCCAAGCGGTGCCGCCTCAGCAGGGGATCAGCGCCCGGCTGTGGTAACAGAGGCAGGGAACACGGCGCTGGGCTGCCTTTCGGTCCCTTTCGGGCAATCGTTGCCTCTGGACGAGCGTCTTCTCGCCAAGAGAGCGCAATGAGGTGTGTGTGGTTCTGCTTGGAAGCGGGTAAAGGTGCTGTCGAGCCTGCACCCACTCGGGGCTCCCCTCTGCGGCTCCTTCCCCGGGGTCTGGTCCCGCCAGGGAAGAGATGCAGGCGGGCCGAGCCGGAGGAGGCCACCCGTCCTGCCAGGTCGGGGCCTGTCTGGCGGACTCCCTGATCGACCGGGGCTCTGCTAGCCTTTGGTTCTGCTCTCCGAGTCAGTGGGTGCTGCCGTCGTTCCCGTAGGATGTTTTCACGATCTTACTCTATAAACAGAGGCTGTACTGAATGTAAACTCGCGTGGTTCACTAAGCAGCCATCGTGTCGTGTGTACGGCTGCAACCCTCTCCCTTCACCCTGCCCTGAGGACCGACCGGAAAGCCCCCGTGTGGACCTCTGCCCTGTTCGGGCCCAGCAGGGCCCCGCGCTGCTTCCAGACCGGCCGTGCACCCGGTGGGGCCTCCCCTCTCTGCCCTCGGCCCTTCGCAGAGGGGACGGGAAACCAGAGCAAGAGCCCGGCCGTAGTCCAAGCCGACTCACTGGGCGCTGCGGGGCGGCAGGGGGGTGTGGACACGGCCCGTCCTAGGTCCCTACCGACGTGGGGAGAGGAGCCCGGCCTTCACTCCTGGTGTTTGCCTTGGGCAGCGGGCACCGGCCTGGGGGGAGCCGTAGGAGACCTCTGTGGTGTGCGTTAACGAACACCCAGGCCTTGGCACGCAGAGACTGAGATTCCCCGCGCCGCCAAGCCAAGACCATCGGGCAGATAGTGCCTGCATCCCGGGAGAGCGGCGCTCGGTACAGCAGGGGCTGGGCGGGAGAAGGCGTCTGTGCCCACCCCACGGGCACGGACGGCACGGGCCCATGGGGTGTCAGCACACTTCGGATCCTCTCTCTCCCACCCCGGGGTGCCCGGGTACCTCCTCCCTCCTCCCATCTGCCCCGGGCAGCGGCGCCAACCCTTCCCCGCCGACCGCTTAGGAAAGCAAGCGGCAGAGAGCCGATCTCTTGGCAAGAGCGGGGTTTGCGCATTGTGTAAGGCCTTTCCCCGTTATATAAATGACGGCAGGAGGAACGCTCCGCCAAGCGGGATGCGCTCCCCAGGCCGGCACCTTGGCGTGGAGCCTTCCTCAGACTTCGCGGCCACCGCCCGCCGCGGAGCTGCTTCAGTCCCGGAGCCGAGGCATCGGGGCCCAGGGCCGCTGGTCCAGCCGAGCTGCCGCCGCTGCCCTGCCGGAACGGCCTCAGGTTTATGCAACGCTGGCGAGAGATGAAAGCAGAAGAGCGAGGGCTGCTCTGCTTCTGCGCAGAGCGGGTGTGGAAAGAGCCTGCCTCGGCACTGCCCGTGCCCCTCGCGGGAAGGATTTGCTGCCCGGGGCTGAGCGGGCTCCCACCGCATCACGGCTGCTCTAGCCCTCGGGGCAGCGCCAGGCCTGGGGGTGGGGGAGCTGTTTTGTGGCCGCAGGGTTTTCTTCCTTTCCGGTCCTTTGCGCAGCCCTCGAACCCGGTGGCAAAGGCTTGGGCGCCGGGAGCACTCCCCGTCGGTACGGCTTGGCACGGCACGGCTCAGCTCGCTGTGCCAGGAGCGGGAGGGCCGCCGTGCCGGTGACTGCAGACAGGGCCGAGAGGTGCTGCGGGAGGAGCACAAGGCCCGTTCTCACCTTGCGCCCCGCTCCCGCCCCGGCGGTGGGGCTGTTTAATACCGCCTGATTCCTGGTATTCTTGTCCGTGTTTTAAGTGGTGAAAAAGTCATTTCCAGTCCCATGGTCTGCATTTCACCCTGAACTCATTGAAAAGAGTGCGGGGTCAGGACTGTTTATTATACAACCAATTAAAACAGGAAAATATGCAAAGGCTTCAGCGAGATCCGGCTATTGTTAAGCCGAAAACGATATTTTTGTTTCGAAATAAAAGAGTACATTTGTTACTTAAAAAATCTCCGCTCTGCGTGTGTGACGAACGCGGCTCCCGGCGGTCGGGAGCGCTGTAAGCTCCGGTGGCCCCGGCCCTTCGCGTCCCTGGCGGAGCCACGGGTGCTGCGCTACCGAGGGGCGGCTCGACGGAGTGGGCAGCGGACAGGGACCGGTGATCCCCACTTCCACCTCCTGGGGCAGGGACCGGGGATCGCTTCTTGCACCCGCCGCTATGCAGGTTCCGCTCCTGTCCGCTCGCAGGAGAGGCCGGCCAGCATTAAAAGCAGGGAGCCAGCGCCGTGCAGGCGGACATGAGCAGCCGGCGTGGTGCTTTGGGCAGCAGAAGACGGTGAAAACCAAAGTACTGCGGGGA